GTGATGTACTTGTAGCAAGACCGAAGAAAAATTTGACTCTTTTTCAGGAAATGCAACTACCCATTGCAAAAAATTTGGTTCTAAGTAAATACTTGATGCTATATATCTTGGTTGACTCGAATAGTACTAATAACCATTTGAAAGAGGTTTATTCTCAGTTTGTGCATGGATAACCTGACATCCGATTTTAGTTAGCTTAGTCCGATTTGTGCAATTTAGCTAAAACCGAAACAAATCAAGAAAACAAGAAGCAAATAACTTGCCTTCAACTCTGCGTGGCTTGAAAAGATGCATTTTGAAGTGATAGTCCGCCCCTCATCCAACACCCATCCAACTTCACAGAAAGTTTCCTCATTCTCTCCCTTTCCAAGTGAACACCACAGTTGCTTAGGGAGCAAGACCAGGCTGCGCTCTTCTCTGACCGTCTGCCTTACATTGTCGTCCTTAAGTTGGAGGATGATCTTTGGACACAAATAATTGAAGAGTTCAAATAATTAAGCAGTTTAAGACCATCATCACGATCAACCAAACAAATTTCCATGGATGAAATGAAAATAATGCAAAGGCCTTACATTTTGAGAATTATCGAAGGTTGCAACAGCATTGAGGCCTTGCCAAACACCATTAACTTGTGAAGGTTTCAAGGGTTCTGTGGCTGCGAATGCAGAATCACGTATTGTACATCCACCTAGCTGATCTCCATTTCTAAAGGGACCATACCATTGCTCAACAAAGACTTTAATATTCTGTAATTCCAACTCAGAGTCTTCAATTCGGATAACCTGAATAATTCTCACCCGCGATTCTTTATCCCGAGGATCAATTAAGCAATGCTCCAGCTCCAATAACTTGTGTTCACCCTGCTCAGAAACAGGCCAAACAGCTACATAACACCCACTAGATTGATATGCAAATGCCAAAACAGGGCTTTGCTCATTATTAGTAACATTTCTTTCGTCGATGCTGTATCTTGTGGCAGCATCAGCTTCGCAACCAACGGTTGGAAGTAGCTTAATGTTTTTGTACATGAGGGAAAACTCATGGGGTTGAGCCAAAGTAGGACACTGTGTTTGCCAGTCAAAAACCTTAACCTCCCATTCCCTATAAGCCTCTGGGACTACTGATTCGGGTAGCTCAATGGGTCTCCCTCCCTTCGTGAAATCCGCTCCAAACCCATCCCATTCACCCGACGCATTTTTTGCGAATTCTGTCCAACCTATATAATAATCAAAAGATAATTAACCTTATCGCACCACCAATTAGACCATACAAAGAGTTAAACATAAAATCAGAGTAGATAGTGGCTAATAAGTATTAAGGTGGATAGTTTCATCTAACAGAACTGTATTTACACGATCCTTCTTGCCCGGCCTAAACACACCTCCTCCCTCTGAAAAAAACTGAATGCTATTACTATCTACACAGTATCTAGTCCAATTTTTAGACTTAATTCCCTGCACAATCTCATCGAATGTACCCAACACACCCTACAAGAATTGAATTCCCATCATCATAATATTAATTGATATGCTAGTGATAAGAACGAATATGGAGAAGCAAGAACCTAAACCCATCTCCTCTTTCAGAGTAATAGTACAAAAAAACTGAATGCTATTGCTACTACATAGTATCTCATCCAATTTTATGCTTAATTCCTTATACGGTCTAATCTTTTGTCCCAAAAACAATCTATAAGAATTGAATTCCCATCTTAATTGATATGCTAAGGACTAGAATGAATAAGCAAGAAATGAGTTACCAGTGACGAATGATGTTGTGGAAGTGGAAACATCGACATTTGAGGAGACGGTGAAAATTGGAGCAGCTCTATCTCTTTTAAAATAAGTGGTGGCAGGGTAATTGTAGTGAAGGTTAGTGCTGAAGTTGAATGTGAAATTATTAAGCTTTGTTTGGAAGGGGAAACTGAGGAGAGGATAAGTGGATTGAAGGGAGAGGAGGGTGGTGTTGAGGAAGATAGCCATTTTTCTCAATTTCTAGCTTCTGTTGCTTTTATTTATCCTCTATCATTTCTATCCTTTGGTTTCTTTCCCTTCTTTTTTCGTCCAAGAATTTGACCAAATCTTGAAAAGGAATGCCTCAATCATAAATGGGGAATTTATTGAAGAATAACTGGAGGCGGAAGAATGTAGGGACCTTTGTTAAAAAGTCCAATCAAACAAAATAATTGGAAAAAAACTCATTCTCAATGTCTACAATCAAACAAAATAATTGGAAAAAAACTCATTCTCAATGTCTACAGGTCAAATGACCTCAATTAAAAAATACAATAAATAAACATTGCAACTTGTCTAAAATATCCCCATCAAGTAAAAGACTCATACACCCTTTTCATCCCAACAAATTCACCATTTCATCTCGTCTGAAAATCAACGTGCTCTTTGACCCAAAAAAAAAAANGACCACTTCATAATTCTTGGTTGGTAAAGATGGTTAGAGCATTTGAACAAGAATTTTGGTTTCTATATTATCTACATTGAAATCTCTATAATATTTGAAGAAAAAAGAAATGTATTTTTGAAAATCTCGTGTATATTGGTCCTTTTATTATTGAATATATTATGAAATGATATTTTGGCTGATTTTTTTCACAGTTGGTGTGTTTTTGTCCTGTCTACAACTATTGGACGAACTGTAGTACATAACGACACGTAAGCCGTTTTACGTAATGTAGAACGACACTACAGTCGTTATCTTCCATGTAAAATGACAATACAAACATTCTATGTTATGTTCTGTCCGTTCTTGATAATACAATGTGGTTACTTTTATAATTTAAATATGACAGCTATTTTTATATTACTTTGATATACGCTTGGTAAACTGTTTAAATTTTTTATTTTATTTGCAGCTATAGATTCTGTAGAAATGATATGGGTACAAATATGCTATTTTGTTGAGTTTAAAAAGATTGAAGATGCACAAGTCTCGTAAGTGTAGTAGGTGTTCGAAAACTGGGCATAACCGTGTCACTTGTACAGATCGTGTACCACTCAATGAGAGACATGAACAATGAAGACAAGATGGCATATACGAGGCTTTTGTAGTATTATGATGTACCGCTTCTGTAATATTTAAAAAGGATGGTGTTGTTGTGTTACGATGTACTACTTTTGTCATTTTTGAAAAGCAAACTATTTATAATGTTTGGAACGAGTGACTATGTCACTGTCTTAGACTCGATGAAGCTAGAATGGGAGTTATGAATTTTTTTTTTTTTTTTTGTTACACTAAAACGTCACTTGTGCTGTAACGACACTTGTGCCATTTTCAGAACAGTAACGACAGTTATGTCATTTTCTTTTTCATGTCGATCAAGTATTAAGCACATCTCCCCTACGTTGTAAGAGGCGTATCCATCCTACAACATAAATTAGTTCATCTAATCGAATATCGTGTCTCGAATGGGTCATGGTGCTCTGTACAAGTGTTTTCAGGCAGAATGACAAAAGTGTCGTTTTCTGAACAATAATGGCACTAGTGCCATTCTCATGAATTTTTTTCACACAGCATAACGACACGTTTGTCGTTCTAGTAGACGTTCTATTATCAGTAACTGCACAAGTGTCATTTTCTACATTGTTTAGACAATTTGCTTTTTCTTTTCATAACTCAATATTTCATCAAAAATCTTTCTCATTATCGTTATACTTGTAAATATAACAATAGTCATACAATTCTAATAAATAATCTCTTTCCATTCAAAAAGAAAGTTGTGCCGTTTTCATGAACAGTAACGACATTTGTGTCGTTTTGTTTTTCATTTCGATTAAGTATTGAGCATATATCCCCTACATTGTAAGAGGCATGCCCATCATATGACTTAAATGAGTTCATCTAATAAGATCATCGTGGCTCAAACGGGTCGGGGCGCTATGTACTTGTGTTTTCAGGCAGAATGACATAAGTACCGTTTAAACGAAAGTTGTGTCATTCTGTTGATTTCATCAATATTTTTCAATTTTTCCAGGCGAACGACCTAGAGAATTGGACCCCCTAACTTGGGAAGGTTGGAAATGTTGATTAGGTGAGATGTAAAATATATGGTATTGAACGGTGAAATCACACAAGTCTACATTGATTTTGTTTGAGAGTATAAGCGTTGAGCATATCTCCCCTACGTTGTAAGAGACATGTCCATCCTACGGCTTAAATGAGTCCATCAAATGAGTTCAACGTGGCTCGGACGGATCGTGGCGCTCTGTACAGGTGTTTCCAGGTAGAACGGTACAAGTGTCGTTAAACGACACTTGTGTCATTCTGTTGATTTCATCAATATTTTTCTACTTTTCAGCCGAACGACCTCACAAATCGGACCCTCCAACTTAAGAAGGCTAAAAATGATGATTATGTGACAAATAACTGTGGAATTGATGTAGAATATATGGTATTGAAATGTGAAATCACATAAGTCTACATTAATTTTGTTTGAAGGTATAAGCGTTGAGCATATCTCCCCTACGTTGTAAGAGGCATGTCCATCCTATAACTTAAATGAGTTCATCTAATGAGTTCATCGTGGGCCGGAAGGGTCGTGGCGCTCTGTACAAGTGTTTCTAGGCAAAATGGCACAAGTGCCGTTAAACGACACTTTTGTCGTTCTGTTGATTTTATCAATATTTTTCTACTTTGCCAACCAAACGACCTCACGAATTGGACCCTCCAACTTAAGAAGGCTGAACATGATGATTAGGTGACAAGTAACGGTGGAATTGATGTAGAATATATGGTATTGAGAGCCCGTTTAGTACACATTAAAATGAGGGTGCATTTTTTTGAAGTGATGTGATAGAGAATATGTAATTGAAAAAGAAGGAAAAGTTATTGATGTGATAAAAAATATTATATTATTGAAAAATGTATGGTTGAAAATGAGTAGAAGAATGAGAATGAAAAAAATAATGTGGCTCAAACAAGGGTTGAAAAGTGAAATCACACGGTCTACATTGATTTTGTTTGAAAGTATCATATCTCCCCTACGTTGTAAGAGGCATGTCCATCCTACAACTTAAATGATTTCATCTAATCAGTTCATCGTTGGTCAGACGGGTCGTAGCGCACTCTACATGTGTTTCTAGACAGAACGACACAAGTGTCGTTGACACAAGTGTCGAGTGCCGTTAAACGACACTTATGTCATTATGTTCATTTTATCAATATTTTTCTACTTTTCCAGCCGAACGACCTCACGAATTGGACCTACTAACTTAAGAAGACTGAAAATGTTGATTAGGTGACAATTAACAGTGGAATTGATGCAGAATATATGTTATTGAACGGTGAAATCACACAAGCCTACATCGATTTTGTTTGAAAGTATAAACTTTGAGCATATATCCTCTACGTTGTAAGAGGCATGCCCATTCTGCAACCAAAATGAGTTCAGCTTATCGTTTATCATGGCTCGGAAGGATCGTGGCGCTTAATACACTTGTTCAGAGGTAGAACGACACTTGTACCGTTTTCTAAACAGTAACGNTTTCTTTTCAATAACGTCACTTGTGCTGTTATGTTATTTTCTCCTATATTTTGATTTGATTCCAACGTAACGATCTTAAGCAATAGACATGAGATAACTAACGATTGAAATGATATAAATTATAATTGACTTTTATAAGTCAATAACGACACTAGTGTTGTTCTCAAGAGCATTTTTATTTCGGTAACGACACTTGTGTTGTTCTCATGGACATTTATAAGTCCAATAACATCATTTGTGTCATTCTCATGGAAGCTTATAAGTCCTGTAACGACATTTCTATCGTTCTCATGAGAACGCTTATAATCATTTAACTTACATAATCTAGCTTGAAGAATATTTGTAATTTTATTTTCTTTAACAAAGATAAGAAATAATCCATTTTTCTTACACTTCTGGGTCATGACTGCTTATTGACGGCACTTGTGCCGTTCTGTTAATTTCTCCAAAATTTTGCTACTTTTCCAGCGGAACTACCTCAAGCATTGGATCTCCTAGGTTAAGAAGTCGAAAATGTTGATTATGTAACAACTAACGGAAGAATTGATATAGAATGTATGGTATCAAACGGTGAAATTACAAGTCTTGATTTAAATTCATTTGAAAGTATAAGTATTACGTTGTTATTTCTATATTTTTTTGTTACATGGTCAACCTTTATATTTTACACACGTTAGGGGGTTTATTATTGGATGTCTTTGCGTTAAAAAAATCAAAATGTAGGAAAAATTAACAGAACGGCGCAAGTGCCGTTGCTGATACGAAAACGACCCTTGTTCCATTATGTTTGTAAACATGAGTATAACCAATAGCATCTTATCCGTGCCCTGAGAACCAATAAGTGAAACTCATTTACATTATTTATGACATTGTCAAACTTTCTATATTATATAGTTAGGGAATCCATTATAAGATGTTATTTTGTTAAAAAAAAAAAACTATAGGTGAAAATTTTGGAACGACACAAGTGTCGTTACTGGTCATGAAAACTACACTTATGCTGTTACGTGCATAGACACTAGTATAAGCAACAAAAACCCACTCGTACCTTAAGAAATAATAAGTAGAACTTATTTATGTTGTAATATGCACATAACATGTACATAAGTTGAGATATATGTTATTAACTAAATCGACACATGATTATGACGACTTGTGCTTTCACCATCTCAATAATATAAAAGCTATATCATTTCAATTGTTTCTTTTTGTGACAATCAATCTTTATATGTTATATATGTTAGTGAGTCTATTATTAGAAGTCAGTTTGTTGAAAAAATCAAGCCACAGTAGATAACGACTGTAGCGCCGTTTTACGTAGTGTATAACGACTGGAGTGGTGTTCTAAATTTCATATAGCAATTGGAATATTATTATCATCCAATGGTTGCAGACAACACAAAAAACGCACTAAGTACGAAAACAACACCAACTAAATATTATTGAATACTATATTCAATAATAAAAATACAAACTACATAAAAT